CCTGGGACTATGTACTGAGGATGGTCCAATCTTCAGATCTCAATTTCCTTTTGCCCCATTAGGGTGTATGTGTGTATGTCCTTGCACACTGTCCAATGACTTCAATTGCATGAATGTAACAGTGTGCACACAACTCTACCCTCCAATGGCAGCTGCCAAAACTTGGGGAAGTGTGCTTCTAAAACTATTATATGTCCACAGAGAAAGGATAGTGATGGAGCCATGAGGATTGTCTCCCTTCTTTGCTACATTTCTCCTGAGAGAGGGAGAGAAGGAAGATTTCATACCTGAGCAGGGTTTTGAACCCTGATCTTCATAGTCAAAGTCCAACACTCAAACCACTATGCCAGGGGTAGGCAACCATTCCCCTTTAAGGGCTGAGGGACTTCAGCTCCCAGAAGCCTCAGCCATGTTGGCCAATAGTCCCATGTTGGCCAATAGCTCCTGGGATTCTGGGAACTGAAGTCCCTCGGCCCTTAAAGGGGAAAGGTTGCCTACCCCTGCACTATGCCATAAATCCAACTGTTAGTCCCAACTAAGCTGAGTGAATCAACAAGAGTATGATAAGTCACCACTAAGGTAAGCTCCATTGATTTAAATGCATCAGCTCAGTTTGGGACTGATAGTTGAATTTTGGAAACAAACCAGCGGTGTCTGCCTTACATCATTGGGGGAAAGAATGCAGGCAGAGATTTAGATTTAAAGAAGCTATCATGGACAATTTATTTAAACACAGAACAGATTCAACTACCTAGAGTCATGGAAATCATGAGCTGTTACTGCATTGAATCTGTCTCTAGTTCAAGAGAAGGAAGGAAGGAAGGAAAACTACTTTCATTTTTGAAGACATTTTAGTTGAAACAGAATCTGATCACATGCGGAGATAAAAGATAAATGTAGTGTCAGTTCTTTTATGGCTTGAATATTTTCAAATGAGATTGTATTTGAGGAAATTGCTTCTATTGAATAGAAAAATGAGAAAAAAAGAAACCTCTTTTGGAAAATAGATTGTTAAATAATATCACTCATATTTTATCAAGCTTTTCTAGGTTTTTGAAAAAAAACACTCCTCAAGAGTGGCTCAAGGACGAGCCAACTCTATTCACCCCATTTCCAAGCAGTGAGATGTTTCTGGATCTCCAAGCAATTACCCAGGATTTAGTTTCCTCCAAAGATGACTTTAGGCATTTTGGTGATAACAGAGTTATATCCATACATATCTAGGCTAGTAATAACTGGTAGCTTCAAGGTCATTGAGGTGGTGAATCTGTTCTAGGTTTGAGTCATAGTGGGGTTTAAAGAGTTAGCTAAGGTCCTGAATCTATTTGGAGAACAGGATTCTCATGGAAGTCAAAATGAGTGATCTTAGATGCTAAATCAGGGCCAACCCTGGTTAGTACATGGATGGGAGATTGCTATTGAATTCCAGATGCTGGTGGCTAGATTTCAGAGGAAGGAACTGGCAAAAACCCCTCTGAGTATTCCTTGGCTAAAACCCCCCTAGGAAATTCATGTGGGCAGCATAAGTCAACAGGTGACTTGAAAGCAGACACACACCCAGATACACAGAGGCCTAAATACCCTAAAAGCACCAGATTCCATCTGATCTTGGAAGCTAAGCAGAGCCAACTTTGGATGGGAGACCGCCCATGAATACCAGGTGCTGTAGGGTCTATTTCAGAGGAAAGAACTGGCAAAACCACCCCTGGGTATTCTCTACCTAAGAAAACCCTGTGAAATCCACGAGGTTGCTATAGATTGGCAGGAGATTTGATGCCACATACAAAGATATAAACAATATGAGTAAGGATTTGAGTAAGAGATTAGTCCAATTCAAGCCAAGAGTTGGATGTACAGGATGCTAAGAGAATTGCACAAGCTCAGCAGGAAGCATGGGATCTATTGTCCACAGCACCAGGATGGCCATAGAATAGATGAGCCAATTTATAGCCTCCAGTAAACTAGCTCAGCTAGCCTCATTAACTCTATACAGTTTATTTAAGTGAGAGATTTCTGACATTTCCGTTCTTGGTGTTTGAGCTGTCGATATATGACAGGGTGTAGAAATTCTCCAAACCTTCAGGGGCTCTCTGGAGTGAACCAGGCTCTGCTTCTGTCATAGTGGAGTTGCTGCCAGCAATTTTGTATCTCCAGAGATGTATTTCAAGAAAACACATACATCTTGCTTTGGCATTTGCAACATGTGCAAGGCTTGCAGGACATTTCTGAGAAAAAAGGGCCTATAAGAGAATGTGAATAATGGAATTGTGAGCAGCTAAAATGCATGTAATGGGGAAAAGTACAGAAGCATTAAGTCAGTGGAAAATGTTGCATAAATTGGGAAAACCTTTCTGAAGAAATTTGTCCAAATTTCAGTACAGGAAAGAAAAAGGCCTTAATCTGGTGGGTTAGTCCTAGCTAGAGTAGACCCAGTCATATATGGCATATTGAATGCTGAGTAAACACATGGGTAATTCCCATTGATTCAAGGTGTTGATTTCAGTTAGGTCTAAAAATAGGATCATTCCATTATCTTGAAACCCTCTAAGAAACAAGGGCAAGAAGAAAATCCAGTTAGGATTTGGCAAGTCTCAATGAAAATGTATGGGAATTAAAGATTTTCCACATCCTTCTGTCCTCTGATTTCCAGTGTGGGAAAAAACCAGAAATAATTTCCTTCCAAAGGAGCAACTTTCATCATTTTGTTTGTAGGACACAAACCACAGTGAGCTGCTCAACAGAAAAGAGGTCTAGATCATGGAGACACTCACCCAGTGGTGCATCAGGTAGACTCCTAATCCTATACTGCTACTACTACTATTACTACTACTAATAATAATAATAGTTTTTCTTTGTATTTTCCCACCTCTCCCTATGGATCGAGGTGGAATTACAGAGAAATATAGAAAAATGCAATATATAAAATCATAACAATCATAAAAAACCCACAATCCATATAATAAAATCCAATCAGGAATGATTCAACAGACTAGTCCTACCCAAATCAGAATTGTGGCCACATTGCCTATCCTTGTCATCAGAGCCAAAGCTTCTTAAGAGGGAAAACTAGAATGGGGAGTCATGCAAAGACACAGTGGTGAGCCTCTGGGTAGGGGCCAATAATGCTTTAATGCTTCCTCAAATGTGTGAGTTTGCAAAGGATTACTGCACCTTCACATTCCCTGTGTGAAAGTGTTGCCCCCCATTGCAGTATTCTCTGTTCCAAAAGCATTACTCAGCCCAGTCCTGAAGCAGGCAGAGAAGGAGGAGAAGAAGGAGGCATTGAGTCACCAAGAGTCTCAGGAGACACAAAATGGGGAGGGAAATGGACGAGAAATTGAAGTCTGCTTGCCCATGTTTATCCAAGGAAACCCTCCTCCCCAATATATTGGAAAGGGAGCTGTTACCTGGAAACTATTGTTCAGCCATACAATGGAGTAATGCAAAGAAAAATGTCCTCAGATCAAATTCACACTCCTACGCACAAAGAGACAGAGACATATCATGGATGGCATCCATTGGTGACATGTACATAACATAGGTGTACATCCACCTTATACCTGTGTATGTCTCTCTCTTTTTGGTTGTTGTAGGGGTTGGTATTCTCTTTTCCATTTCTCTGGATATAATAATCTAGCCGTGGTAATTGCATATTGTAGTAACTGTTCCTATGGTCTCAATAACCTATCTTGTTCTTGATTTGACTGAACATGAAATCTAGTTTCTTTTTGAGTAAATTTTCTGAGGAATTCCAGAGAATTCCCAGACCTCCCACAGGAAGCTCTTGTGATGTTTTCCTACTTGGCATGCCATACATTTGGCAATTTAAATTATGGCAGGGGTAGGCAACTTTTCCCCTTTAAGGGCCGAAGGACTTCAGCTCCCAGAAGCCTCAGCCATGTTGGCCAATAGTCCCATGTTGGCCAATAGCTCTTGGGATTCTGGGATCTGAAGTCCCTCGGCCCTTAAAGGGGAAAGGTTGCCTACTCTTGAATTATGGCTTTGAAAATCTGCTCTCGGAACTCAATGCCTGTTGGATCTACTTAATATTTTAAGGAGAATTCTACTGGGCCAGATTGAAAGTACATCACCCCATGTCTTTCTTTCCAACCAAATGTTTCCAGGAAGCCTAAAAGTAGCATCCTTGCATCCATGCCTTTTCTCAGGATCTGATATTCACTGGTGCACTGCAACCAAACATGGAGGTTCAGTTTACCTGTCAAGGTTCATAAAAATGACAGTTTAATATATCCTTTGCAAATATTCTAATCCTGTTTTGAAATAGGATACAGGCAACAGGGATGTGATTTTGGATGTCTTTTTGTCATTCCATGGTTAATGAGAAAAATGATAGAATCCTCTCCTCAACAACAGCCGCCACTCAGTGGCAGGCTTTTTGTTTTTCATTAGTCTTGGAGAAAATTTGCATATTTTTGTGGTAGTCTTTGCACCTTTCTGTAAAATGGGCAGCATTTGAAAATGTCATCACTGTCAAGTTATTGTATACTAACAACAGTAATGTTGACCATGCTGGCTGGGAAATTGTGGGACTTGCAGTCCAAAAATGACATTCCCAATCGCTGATCTTTTGACAATGACTTCCATTGGTTTTAAGATATGGAAAGAAACAATGAATGCTTTCCGATTCTCATCTGTATGCTTCTAAATCAACTTTTCATTTAGCTGAGAAGGTTTCTCATCACTGCTTTGGTTTCCATCCCAGCCAAGCATCTCCTTGCTTCCTACTTTTCATAATAATTGTGCCCTTTTTCTATGATGGGTCTCTGACAAGCCTTTGCATTTGAAAAGGTTCATAACTCAAACAACAATTCTCCTGGTATTTCTTCTCTTCTGCCATTCCTCTCCCATCAAACAAAAACTGGCTAATGGGTCTCAGTAAAAAAAAAAGTATATAATTGCCACTGATTTCCTCAAATTGCTGAAAAATGTATTAATGACACTTTTCAAGGAAGAAATAACACCATTTGCATATAAATGTACTTCCTCTTTGCAAACTCTACTCTTTTATTTTCTCGCTTTCCAGAGATGGAATACAGAGAATTGGCAGCATAATTCTGAGCAATCTTCAGGCAGACAGATGTGCATGGGGTGGATCTCCTTGCCATCCAGGGATCCCTTGCATTTTGGATGGTGTGTCCACTCTCAGTTTTATAACCATTTTCCCCACCATTGCTCCAGATTAAGTCCCTGGGCCCTGTTCTCAACAGAGGTTCAGCACTAGAACATCTCTTGTAGAACCTGGAAGGAGCAGCCTTCAAACCAAGAGATGATTCACTGTATGAAGGTGTGGGATGGAGCCTTCTTAGCTGTGGCATCTCAAATTCTGAATTT